TAGGTCTCGTGGCCGTAGAAGACCACCGGTCTAATCTGCGTATTGTAGACAGTCAACTCCGTGCGGCTGCGAATTTTATTCGACCGGAGCGTCCTCCGGAGTCCAAAGTAGGCACGATTCCCTGCCATAATGCGTCTTTGAATTTCTCTGCTGGTATCATTTTCGGCGGTCACCAGTGAGCCCAAATACACGAACTCATCGACCACCTCGATTACGTCACCGTCTATCTGAACTCGGGGTGAGAGGCTAACATTGTCTTCCCTAGAACCTCTTCCTTTCATGTATTTTGTCTTTGATACGTTGATGACAAGTCCAATCCGTCTAGCTTCAGCCTTCAGTCTGATGTACGTTTCCGCCATCATCTCAAAGCTCCGTGCCATAATGACAATGTCATCGGCGAAGCCAACAAGCAGGATGGACTTCCTGAAGATCGTGCCACTCGTGTCTATCCCAGCTCTTCTGATCACACCTTCTAACGCGATGTTGAACATCAGACATGAAAGTCCATCAGCTTGCCGTAACCCTCTTCAAGATTCAAAGGGACTCGAGAATGTCCCCGATACTCGAACAACGCACATCACTCGATCCATCGTCGCCTTGACCAATCGCGTCAGTTTGTCCGGAAATCCGTACTCGTGCATAATCTGCCATAGCTGTCTCGATCGATTGTGTCGTATGCGGATTTGAAATCGATGAACAAATGATGTGTGGGCACGTTGTATTCGCGGTATTTCTGCAGAACCTGCCGAATCGTGAAAATTTGGTGCGTGGTAGCGCGGGCACCCATGAATCCCGCCTGATATTGCCCCACGAACTCTCTTGCAAATGGTGACAGAAGGCGGCATTGATTTTAGAAGTTCCTTTGCTATTGCGAGACTATTCACAACGTGCAAAAGTCGAGCTGAGAGCTGACTCGACACAAAAATGATTCCGTTCCACATCGTATTCTTAGAAAGAGAAAGTGTAGTTTGCTATCTCTTTTTACTTTTCACCGATGACAGACACGAAGGGACTGCTGCCAGCCATTATGGATGTTTCGGTTGCATTCGGGTGTACAGCAAAACTCATTAAACATCAATCTTAAACAGAGTTTGGTGAGATTTGCAGTTGGTGAGTTTTGTTAGCTTGATATTCCGAGCTGCGATATCACAGCTTGCAAAATCAACCGCAGATGTTGGCTTGTTGATTTCTGTCTACGCAAATCAAGCGTGATCTCGGACATTGGTGAGATTTGATTTTTTGGTCTTTTTTCAATTCTGGATAGAGCTATTGTTTTTGAATAATTCATCAGAACATACCAAATTGATAAGATAAGAAATTTCGAAATTGTTTCAGTTTGGAATCTGACAACCATTGGTACATCGGCAGCACTGGCAGAAAAGGTGATTTTTGGAATTTAACTCCATAAATATTTGAACAGTTATAACTTTGTTTTAGAGCCATTCTAGCAACGTATTGCCTTCAGCAAAGTTGTTAGGCACTTCCTGGAATATTATTGTACATGGTAAGTTACATAGGTCAAGCAAAATGGTGATCTCTAGGTATAAAAATGCTTAAAAGCAGGTTTTCCCATACTAATTTTCATATAAATTTCAAACGCAATGCGGAGCGCCGGACTACGACCAATCGGCCCCAAATTTCGCCCAGTGGATTGGAACCTCAAATGGAACCAAAAGAGTTGTTCTCACTTAATGAGATCAAGTTTGCGTTTTTCCATACCACGGTGACCCACCCTAAATACAGCCATTCCATAACAAAACGATATGGTGGTTCTCGAAATTTCGCAAAAAATGTTAGTATTGTTCCAAAAATTATTAGAGAAATTTTGGTTTTTTTGCACAACATATCAATAAATCAGCGATGGGTCTTTTTCATTTATCACACAGATAAAAATATTTAAAGCGTAATAAAATTTGACGTAAAATTAATAAGAATTTCATTTTGTTTTGACTGCAAAAAGAAATCATTGTTATTTCAACAATCCAGTATCTTTGTTTCTAAAAACCCATGGATTGTTAAATTAAAAAGAAAATATTTTCGAATTTACAAGATCTTTCATGGTTTTGACGTAAGCTGTAATATTTAGCAGCTGGGTCAAAAAATATATGTTTGTTTTGAAAAGAGATTTCTTGTTGATTCAATCCTATTTATTTTATTATGCCTGAAAATATACGCAGTAGAAATAAAATTATGTTCAATAATGTTTTGTTTTCTTTTAGTAGCAAACAAAATTCCAGTTGAATTAAAAAAAAACTTTCTGAGGCATAAAATTCATGAGGTTCATGAGTTGATGAGTCGATAGGTAGGGTCCAGGTGTGAGAGCTGCCTTCCTGGCGTCGGGAGCATTGGTACTCAGTACGGAAAACAAGATCGACGGAAAAAAAAACAAGGAAAAATAAAGAAAAACTGTTTATATTTAGCAACTGCAGCATACTTACTTACCTACCTTAGATTTTCGGAAATCTTGAACTTATTTCCCGAAATTCACTGTTAAACACAAAATTTACGTCGAATGCGGGAAAGAGCTGAATCAAACGAGAACGGTTTTGTGTTATTTTTTTACATTTTTGTCCGGGAACGAGGGAATGGTTGGTAGTTATTTTTGCATTCATGGTCCATGGACCAATAAATGCTAAATTAAAATTAATAATTGTTGGCTTAATAAAAGAATATTGTCATTTTAAGAATAGTTGCAGTTGAAGAGTGGCTTCTTAAAACAAAAAGAATCTTATTTTGAATTTATTTGAATAAGTATTATCGAAACAATAAAATGCAATATAATTGCAACCGGAATGGCTTGTTTAAACACAAAAAAAGATTTTTTTTGGTTCAATGCAAACAAGTTTCTGTCCGTGTTGAGTTATATTGTTTTGAAGTAATCAATTTTTGTATTTTCACTCAATACTCCTATGTGACTGAAAACCATGGATCTCTTTTGATTTTTAGTGACTGTATCATGGTCCCGATAATTTGGCATTCAGGCAGCGAATGAACTGAAATTAGATTAGCACACCGATGTAATTTTACTCGTCATACCTGCAAAATTCTCGTTTGTTGCGTCATTACATTCGTATTTTAGTGTGTTAATATTGCAATTTCAATTTTGAAATATTTTTTGCTGTGTAGGAACAAACTTATTATTAATTTGTGCACAGTGAGATCATTGTTATTAGGGTTAACTACCCCATTTTCGGCCTATTAAGCACAACCCGCACTTACTCTTTTTAAATCTAGCGCAGTTTAGCACCAAACGGAATTTTATTATTACCGATGGCTTCCAAATTTATTTACCTTTCCGTACGTATCGTTAAATTTGATAAAGAGAAACCATTCGTTGAGATATTGTCAAAAGTCTAACACTGCTTCTTGACGCTAAACTCGGCCTACGGATTCTAATTTCGGCCTAACGCATTGTAATGCCATTGAAACGCCAATGAATTCACTTCGGCCTATCGGATGAAGATAAAAATGGATTCGATCGGAGAGCTTCTTTTGTTTTTGTGAATTATGGGTGCAAACCTTCATATCACGCGTTCTCAATGACTTCGTTCCGTAGCTTATTAACTAAGGTATCGTACCAATCGCATCAATAACTTGTTAACTCTGAAATCATGGATTTATTTGAAGTTTTCTGATCGTTAGGCCCAAAATGGGCGATTAAGCCGAAGTAGTTCTCTACCTTATTAATGTTTTCTGCTCAATACTGCAGCTGCTTACCGGAAGGAGATCTTCCGACGATAACTTATATAAAGCTGAATACGGAAGCGGATAAGTGGAAAAATAATCTGGATCCGAAGAAGTTGAAACAGTTTGAGCTACTTTGGGGCGATAAGAATTTGGAAAAGAATTTCATAACATCTTTCACACTACTAAACCTTTCATGAGCATGAGCATGAACATGATTGACTGCCCACGAAAGGAATGGATAGAAATCTGTTGACGTGACACTCGCTTTGATGAAAGCCGAGAAATCCGCTGCCTTTTCACGAGAAATCATTGGAATGTTGGATAATAGGGTATGCATTGCAGCAGGATTCGTTTTGATAAACGATAAGCTGGATTGATGTCCTAACAATTCTATAACGAGAAGGAGCTTGAGATTGAAACCACGGTCTTCTGCTCAGTAAGCAAAAACGTTTGCCACTGGGAAATCGAGCTCCTTATATTACGACACACCACGAGTGATCGAGTTGTTGTTATTACCACGTATTCGTAGAGGGGCTTGAGATTAAACTCGACTGTCCTGCTCAATGAGCAAGAACGGTTGGTCTAAGGTCGCAGAGCCCCTTATGTCACATCATACTATCTATCATCGAGTTGCTGTTTTAACCATTCAAAGCCGGATACCGACGACGACAAATTTCGAGAGACTCACGATAAACAAGCGATGTGACTTTGATTCTTCTTGATGTGAACGCACCTGGGATTGATGCTCTTTGTCTCATAATCTAATCCAGTGGAAAAAAGTCTTTCCCAAACAAACAAGTAATTTATTCCATGATGTGCTCGATTTAGACCTTTAAAATGATGCGCCGCCATAATTTCATTCAATCGTAAGGGAAGGTTGTTAAAATTTAAAAAAAAATCCAGATAAAGTCTATACTATCACTAAACGTACCCAAGAGAGCGTGTGACTGCGAATGTTTAACGCACACAACATGCAGCACAGAAGTGGTTGTCCCGAATGAACATCCCAAAACCAGGAGCATGCTGCAGAAAATGAACGCGAAAAATCGTCGTTCGCTTCTCTCGCTCGAATCGCATTCCAATACACAAAACTGCATGCACGCGGAGAAAGAAAGTTCCTCATGTTTCGGAGCACACACCGATGCGATGTATTGGGTGCTGCTCCTATTGTAGTGCAGAGCACCAGGAGAGTGTGCCGTCTCTTTGAGCTGTCATATCCAGCACTCTGGGAACTCACTCGTCGCCACTAAATAGCAGTCCTATCCAAGTCAAGCCAACAGGAGTCCGTTCCGTGTCTAGTTTCAGTCGCACATCATCGCATCAGAGAGCAAGCAGCAGAAAGCAGAAAGCATTGGATACCTAGAGCAAATATAATAAGCCAGCCAAGAAAAAAAAGCCTGAGCCAAGAAAGAAGAAAAGCCCAAGAGAAAAGCAAACGGCGAGCGACCAGCAGAGAAAACCAGTTTAATTTTTTCACTCGCCTTCTTCCCTTCGCGAAACACACGTACCAACAACCTACGATATAGGTTTTCCTTGTGCCCGTGGTCGCCCCCAGAAGTAAGTAGGGAAAATTTGCTCGGAAAAGGTGTGTGGTTTCCCCGTCGTGCAATTTCAATTCGGTGGAAAATCGTTCACTGCTGGTGTTGATTTGGTGTTTTTCTGGTGTCAATCGTTCACCTGCTCCTCGTTGTGTCACGTAGTGTGTAGTGTGTTCTCGCAGCAGTCTTTTTTGTTTGCGCACAGTGCTCTTAAAACCCTACACTGAAAATCAAAAGGAGGAAATAGTGTGTTCGAGTAAGAAGAAAAAAAAAAACCCTCTGCAACAGCAGCAGCAGTCAAGCAATAAAGGCAGAAAAGTAAGTTAGCAACCAGCCCGGAGGAGAGATTTTTCGGTTCGATTGGTTTCGGTTTCAATTCAGTCTTCTTTTGTGTGCCTATGCCTACAACGGCGACGACGACGACGACGACGACGACGTCTTGAGAAGAAAGGATTCGAGAAAAGTTTTTTTTTCCTTAGAACACAAGCATACAGGCTTTTTCGTGTGCAGAAAAAGTGCGAGTTAGTAGCGAAAAAAGAGGAATAAAGTGTGCCCAGTGATACGTAGCACCAGGAGCGCACTAAATTGTTACAGAAAGAGAAAAAAGTTATCGAGTGTGTTTTTGACGTGTTTTCGATCGCAATTTTTTTTCGGAAGGATTTTCCACAATTTCGTCTGATGATCAAAGGAGAGATACGTAATTGTTCCAAGCCAGGTCGTTTCTAATCGAAATCAGGTAAGATAACGTGCGGCTCCCACTTGCATGGATTGGGTGTGAAATTCATAGTCAGTAATTAATTTAATAGAATTTGGGAAAAATTGAAATGTGAAAAATCTGCATGAAATTGATAATTTTTTCTCTCACACATACACAACGATGCAATAGTCTCATGCGATGTTGGTGATGGTGGTGGTTCTTCTGCTGGGTTTAGTTAGTATATCGAAAGCAGAACAGCAATAGAGCAGCTGCTGCTGCGACACAGAAAGTACGAGAGACGACGCACTTACACATCTAATTGCCCTATCAAGGTAGTGTGTAAAACGCGAGCCCATTTAAGTGCTGCTCTGCTCTCCACGAAGTGAAGTGACGGACAGTGGTATCAGTTTTTTTTTTTTTTCTATTTGAGTTGGATTTAGTCTGGGATTGAAAACACAACAATCTACTATTTTTTCATACGACGTTTCGACTCTCTACGGAGTCTTATTCCGGGAATTCAAGTTAACTATTCCATAGTCCATTCCATTTGACCAGTATTTTTTATGTTGTCATTAGGGTGACCATTTCCATGTTTCGGTGGTCCAAAAATCTATTTTTCCCCTAAATTATATATATAGTTAAATTTTATTGAATTTAACAAGTTTTGAGTTTTGCTCAATACTCCTTGATAACTTCAAAAAGACAGAACTTTAAAAAAAACATCGCTGATGTACAACATACAGTTGTGTAAATCAATGTTTTTCAAAACCAAATCCCTATTTAAATATTTTTATATTTTATAAAACGTGTTTTTAAATACCTTTCATTTCATATTTTGATCTTTAAAATTGGCCCTGTCGTTCAAAACTTATGCCTTTTTTTAAAAAAAAAGTGAATTGTTTTTGCATTACCGTAACATGGAGATGGTCACCCTAATGACACAATAAAAAAAAATGGGCCTAATATTTTGAGATTAGGAGCAAAACTACTATTTCTAACGAAATACTGAGAACCACTATATCGTTTCGCTATGGAATGGCTGTATTGTTAAAAATACAATACTACCATAGAGGAAACTCTAAGACCAGAAGGTTTCGAAGAAACGTGCTAAATTTTTTGGCTCAGCTCTGGTACTTTCTTCGGTCCCAAGCTAAACGATGCACCCCTCGAAACATTTTATCTGTCAAACTTTCATAGCGAATCAAAACAATCATAGTGTAGTACTAGAATTTCGACTAAAATTGGGTACGTTCATCGATGTACATGGGACCGATAGACTAGTTCAGTGTGAGCCAATTTAAAATCGTTAGTTACTACCGGTTGATACTACTGCTTGATTGAAAAACAGAACAACAATTCAAGCATTTGGATTTACCTCGTCATACGGATGAAGCCAAAAATGGATTCGCTTGAAGTGTTTCTTTTGTTTTTTGAGAACAAAGGGTGTAAATATTCATCATTAGTCCGGTTAACATTTTCGAATATGGCCAAGAACGCGATTATCCGTTTCAAAAGGAATAAAATCATCTTTGCAGAAGAAGCCCTGCGAAAATTGCATCCCATCCAAAAGGGATACTGGCAGGGCTAGTAGCAGGTCACTTTTTAGTGACTTGGTCACTATTTTGAAGCTAGTCACTAAAAAGTCACTTTTTACACCAAAAAGTCACTAAAGTCACTATTTCCCTAAAAAAAAGTCACTAAAGTCACTTTTCACTACTAAAATAGAGTGAAATAAAAACATATCAACAAAATGTTTAAATTGAGCACTTGGCACTAAGAAAGACTACAGTAGTTTTAACAAAATATACATACCTGTTAAAAAATTCAAAATTTTAACTAGGCTGACCAGTGAAACTATTGGGAAATGCCTTAAATTTCAATTCAAAATCGAGGAAAATATACCTCCTTTCCCCGAAAATAAATTGTAAATCTTGGAAACGTTCCAAAGGTATTTGCCTATGATATATTATCAAAAGTCTTTCAAGGATAATAAGAACTTTAAAAAAATCCAAAGTGAATTTAAGAGAATTTCAAAGGATTCTAGGGATGACACCAATATATTTCAGAGAAGAATAACAAAGTACAGACTACGAAAGTATCATGTAAAATTAAGTGCTCTGAGGACCGATTTCTTCATCTCCGCTTAAATCTTAAGCCAGGTTTACCTACATAGTTAAACTTGGCTTAACACATACGAGACGCAAAAATTCAGCTTCGAATCAATTTTGGAAATAATTCTAATATAATTGAGAGTAAATTTTAACGAGAGTTCTGAGAAGAATTCTATGATGATTGGATGAGGATTCTAGGTCCAATTCTAATATGAATTCAAAATTAGTTCTGAAATTTTGCCTAAGGGGCTCCGATGAAAATTCCATGACAATCCCGTGAACTCCAAAGATGGTCTCTGCGGATAATTCTAAAAGAATTCTGGGGTGATTATGAAGATACTTCCAAGAGAGTTCTTAAGAGTTTGAAATAAATTCCAAGAATAATTGTAATGGAATCGAATTTTGAGGGTTCAATCTCAAAGGAAATCTGAGAAGATTTTCAAAGTTATTCTGTGATGGATTTTTGTTTTGAGAATTCTGAGTGAATACTATGGGAATTCTAAATAGAATACGAATTGAATTTCCAGTTGAATGCAGGGGAGAAGTCCAAGATTATTCTAAGCAGAAATTTATGAAATTTCTGATGTCAATTGCATGGAAATTCTAAAGAGAATTCAATTGCATTTAAAATGGATTTATGGAAGGAGTCTTCAGGGAGTTCCTATAAGAATCAATAAAAAACGAAAATAATCTACTTTAATTAATCATGTATTATTACTTCATGCGTGAATTTAACGATTTACATCGTCGGAGATGCTTAACGTCAAATATCAGAGTTAAAGTAGAGATTTTATGCGATAGATGAGGAGATTAAATTATAGAGCTGATAGTTCCGTTATAGTACAACATTGCGAAAATTGTATATACAAAGTAGAAAGCGAGCCAAGGACAATTTTGAGGCGACTTGAGTGTGAAGCAATCGATAGAACTGTTTCCGCACATCGGAGGTACATGAGCAAATCGGAGATCAGCCCTTTTGCCAGTGGTGGCAGGGGGAAACACCTCTCACCATCCCTCATTACAGATGAGCTTGGTAAAGGAGATGCTCTACCCGATTCGTACCTTTAGCTGGGCGATCGCACATTATTTTTGTGCGCATTGTACATGCCACCAGACCGAGTTCGTGATCTTGAACTCATCGAGACTCACTGTCAATCAGTCTTCACAGTAATGGAAAGAGCGACTCCAATTGATGAGCTATTCATTTTTGGGGACTTTAACCTAGCAGGCGTTTCGTGGAGACCATCCCATAGCGGCTTCCTCTATCCAGATCCAGAACGTTCTGTATTTCATGCAGGAGCTATCGGCCTTCTCGATAACTATAGCGTAGCAACGCTTTCTCAAATTAACTACGTAGTCAACGAGAACAACCGTAGTTTGGACCTCTGCTTCGTGAGCACTCAGGACAATGCTCCGTTCATTTCAACAGCACCTTGTCCACTAGTTAAGCTTGTTCCGCACCATCCTCCTCTGATTGTCACTGTTGAGGACAATCTCGTTCGTGATTTCGAAAGTCTTCCTGCTGCGGTTTCTTATGACTTTCGAAAGGCCGACCATCGAAGCATTGTAGATGTGTTGTCAAACATGGACTGGGAGAACATTCTCGATCATGACGACGTTGAGGCCGCTGCGCAAACTTTTTCTCATGTCTTGGCATATGTCATTGACAGACACGTCCCGAAAAGAATTCAACGCAAAGACTCTCACCCTCCCTGGCAGACGATTGAGCTGCGTAGGTTGAAGTCGATCAAGAGAGCAGCATTGAGAAGATTTACGAAGCATCGCACGCTTCCTCTGAAACATCACTACGTGAGGCTTAATCACGAGTATCAGCGAGCCAGTCGTCGATGCTTTCTGCGATTTCAACGAGGTATTCAGCGTAACCTTAAACTTCACCCGAAATCCTTCTGGAACTACGTGAACGAGCAACGCAGAGAATCTGGCCTCCCATCGTCAATGGAATTGAACAGTGAAGTCGCTTCCACTCCGCAGGATATTTGTCGCCTTTTTTCTGTCAATTTTGCCAGTGTGTTCACTGATGAGAGACTAAGTGACGACCATGTTTCCCTCGCAGTCAGGAACATCCCACTAAATGGTCAAACGCTGAGTGCAATTGATGTCAACGTTGAGATGATTTCTAACGCTGCAACGCAGCTCAAATCGTCCTTCAACCCTGGACCCGATAGAGTTCCGTCCGTGTTTTTGAAGAAACATATTGCTTGCTTGTTAACTCCACTTCACCGTCTATTCATTGCTTGGACGATCGGTTTCTGGGTCTGCTGGAAGAACGTCCGTTACGTCAGCCGGCGCAAAATCATTATCGTTGAAGATAAACCGGTTCAGCGGAAAAATTCCTGCCTTACGGAATCCGTTGACACCAAGAGCCGCGTTAGAAGTCTTCATGAAAGCCTAACCAAAAAGCCGGCTGATTTCGTTCAGGGTGACAACCCTACCAGGATTGCATTTGAGGAAACTCTCCACTTCCTTCGAGAAAGCCGTCTTGAGCGGCCCCATGTAGCTTATGTCGAGAGGCTGTAGTTTGTGGCTGCAATGGAGGGGGGTCACATGGCACTCACGCGCTCTTTCAATAAAGCCAAGGTTCTTCGTATGTGAAGAATGACCGTCCAAAATCAAAAGAACCGGATTATCAGCTGTTGGACGCGTGCGCTTTAGAAAATGCTCGAACCGGGTGTTGAATTCTTTCACAGTCATCCAACCGGAAGTGTTGCAGACAAATACCGTGTCTGGTGGAGCACCTTCATAAGACTGGTAGTCAAACGGGTCCTAGGGAATATCATCATAGGTGGCAGTATTTGTCCCGTTGCTGACATGCAAATGCTTGCAGTGGAAAGTAGCCCTCTTTCCGCCGTTGTCACAGCTTCTACCTGTCATCGGCCTTTCAAGGCAAATACTTTGGAACGTTTCGTT